GCGATTTATTTCCGAAAAGTCCACAACAAACGTTGATACTGTGAACTATCTGATGATGACAAAAGTACGACATTTTCGGATTTTCCTCTTCCCATTTTCGAAAATTCCAACGGTTTAGTATGCCATTAGAGGTGAACATGGATTCATCAGTCCATAGAATGTATAGAAGAACGTTTTCTTCTTCCTCCCAAAACATTTGTGCAAGGAACGCTAGACGCTTGTCTTAATCATTGTCCGACGTCCCTGGATACGATGAGGGCTCTACGGAAAATAGTATGCCCAGGGTACATCTCTAATTTTACTTTTTGAAATGCCTAAAACCTGTCCAACATTTCGGACAGAGGAATTCAGATTTTCGCGAACAAACAGTAAAATATTCACGTCCTCTTCGAAATTACGCTGTTGGCTTCTTGGTGTTGGGTCAGCAAGTTATCATTCCTCATATTGCGAATAGCGTTTTGTGGTTTACTCGGGGGCGAACAGGAAATTTCTGGGAGTACAACTTGACTGCACGACGCGCAATACCACCACAACAATAAAACAGTCGTACGTATCAAATCTCATTTGATTGGAAAATTTTGAACGTAACAAATATAGAAATGTGTGGTGTTTAGTGACCGTTAGACAATGATTATTCCGAGATCGTGAGATGCGGTCTGGTGTGACGTAGGTTTTAGAAAAACATTTTCTTTATCGTGCCAACGTTTCGATCTTTATTGAGATCATCTTCAAAGTTTGGGATTTAAACATTGTTTAAATTTTACAAATATATGTAGTCATATTTGAAATTTTAAAACTTTGAAATTTTTTGAACTGGGCGTGAGGTACCCTGTACAATTTTTCTACAAAAAAGATAAAATTTTGTGACTAGACCACAAAATTTTTGTCTTTTTGATGGCGTGTTTGGTTGAAAAGAAATTCAGCCGGACCATCTAAAAAGGACACCCTGTATAGTGTTTATGTCTATTGTACTTACGTTAATCTATTAAAATAAATGTAATTTATTAGATTCACTAATTTCGTGGTCCGCTACACGACATTTGAAAAATGGCAAAAGGAGGGAAAACTCATAAGGTGGGGTCGAGATGAGGAGTTGATGTCCGAGTGGATCGAGGTCACGATAGCTCAGGTGGTAGAGCAGCGGCGTATCTAGCCGAAGGTCGTGGGTTCGAATCCCTCTCGTGCCANGACACGCAAGGATGGCACAATTACACAGAAGATAAACACTTTGAGCCCTGAAGATGATCTCAATAAAAGATCGAAACGTTGGCACGATAAAGAAAATGTTCTTCTGAAACCTACATCACACCCGACCGCATCTCACGATATGTGAATTACTATCGATTAACGGTCACTAATCTCTCTCTCTCTACACACACACACACACACACACACACACACACACACACACACACACACACATATATATATATATATATATATATATATATACCATTTGTATATTTTATTGTGTTTGATTAGTATACCTACCAGTATTTATCTGTATATACACTACATTGGTTGTGGGCATTTATCTGTTAATAAATAAATATTTGTTTGAGATACGTAAGTGCTGTGACATTTTTGAGCTTATTATATAAGTCCATATTAGGGTCAGCTCGCCGATACGACCTAGAATTCGCGTCTAATAAGTCTGTATTCAAAATATACTTATTTCAAATGTTTACATTCGATTCCAAACATGTTGCAATTTCAATATGACTTATATACTCGAAATCGATAACATTTTTGTATCAGGAATATGACCATTCATTGATTATTCAGTATTAACCGAAAGCTTATCTTCCATCTTGAATGATGCAATAAAAACGTTCCGTTGAGTGTTTCTGATATACGAAGTTTTTAAATAGGTCGTTCTCTAATAATCAGGGCTGATCAGTTTAGGAAAAAGGAATTACCATTTACCAACCTCTGTAATGCTTAATTATCATGTTATCTCTTGTAATGTGTAATGCATGATTAGATACCTCTATGTCTTAGTCATGATCTTTCTCATTAAAGACTTTGAGAATGTATTCTGTGTACTAGAAAAGAGTGATCATACTGATGATAAGTATTTTATGTTAGCTCATTTTGCAGGCAGTGTAGCCGGCCTGCACTGTAGCAGTACAAACTGAAGGCCATCGACAAATGGAGGTAACAGAAAGCAAATTTAGGGAAATAAAAAAAACCGCCTTGGACATTCCGGTAATATTTAATTTAAGCGCAAGTAAATCCCTAAAAAGTCATAATAAAATACAAAAAGAAGATCTATATAATAACTATGGACTATTATTATGAGAAATGGACATGTTAATCATTACATGTTGATGGTAGGATGCATGTGGAATCCGGGAAACACCATCAAACTCACAATGGAACAAAATTCAACAGTACAGGACAATTTTTTCGGAAAATTGGGAATACTCCTTAGCACAAGTACTTAGATATACCGACCAATTCAACAAGTCAGTAGGCATTGGCATTAATTTCAACGAGCTGAAAAGAAAATGGCAACGTGTCCTTCCAATTGAAAAATGGCTCCTCGTCATGTTAAAACCTGCTTTCTTTTTATAGCCTGTAAAAATGAAACTACACATCATTTTTACAGTAAGCGGCGTGCTTCATTCGAAGGTCAAATGATACTCTCTACAATTCAGCCATGCCACCGTTGAAAAAGTACTGCCGGCTCAACTTTGCGGAAGCAGCGAATGCGCCTGGTATGCTAAGATGCTGTGTGACACTCTTGGTAATGGACGGTTTTTTCCGTCTGCCAGGAGTTTCTCAGGGTAATATCCTTGATGATATCCTTTTGTTATTTACTGATCCAGAATAGCCTATTGGCCTCCCTGTAGTTGATACTTCGTTTTTTTTTTTTTTAGTGTCAACTGCTTATCTTTCATTTCGATACTTTGTATTGTTCTGTTTATATATACAAAAAGTTGAAAAACCCAATCAGAAATGATAGTTTTGTTATTTCTAGGTTCATGTAAAGGTTCCCTTTTCGATTACATGTAAATGGTAATCTCAATATAAAATAAATGAACATTAATTACAAAAGTTCACTAATTTCGTGGTCCGCTTTAACAATTAATATATTACAATTAATTAAGGTTTTTAGTTGAGATAAAAAAGTCAATGGCACGAGCGGTATTCGAACCCACGATCTTCGGCTAGATACGCCGCTGCTCTACCACTTGAGCTATCGTGACCTCGATCCACTCAGACACCAACTTCCCATCTCAACCCCACCTTTTGATTTTTCCCTCCTTTTTGCCATTTTTCAATGTCATGTATTTAGACGATATCGAGTGGATCGAGGTTACGATAGCTCAAGTGTAGAGCAGCGGCTATTTAGCCGAAGATCGTAGGTTCGAATCCCGCTCGTGCTATTGACTTTTTTATCTCAACTTAAAACCTTAATTATTTACATATTAAAAATTACACAAGATAACACTATATTTACAAAATGAATAAATTAAAAAAATGGTACATAACTAATTACTAAGAATAAATTAAAGTCTGTAAATTAAATCTTCAAGTTTGAAAACAAGGTAAATTTGTAAATTTTAAAAAGATGTCCAAAAGCTGTTTAGAATCTTAATTCTGGCGCAGTAGCTTGCCAGGCACTCTCCCGTTGTTACTGTGTGAACTAAGTCTAAACATCATGTTAGAAAGAATAAGCTAAAGAGAGAAAGGGGGAGCCATAGAGAATGAAGGGTGGAAAGAATGAATGACAAAAAGAGAGAGGAAAAATTAGAAAGAGGGAGATGGACGGAGAAAAAGGAGTGAAGACAGGGAGGGAGAGAGTGTTAGGGAGAGGAATAGAGCGTTAAAAATTGTGGAGATTGACTTGGGATAGAAAGAAAAAGAGAGCTAAAGAGATAAAGAATGATGAAGAATGAGTTAAAGATTACAGAGAGAGCAACATAGGCAGAAAGTGAGAGAGAGAGAGAGAGAGAGGGAGAAAAATATATAGAGATTGACCTGGTATAGAAAGAAAAAATGAGCCAAAAGGAAAAAGAATGAGCTCAAGAGGAAGTGAAACGTTGAATGAATGTTGAATGAGGATGCCATGAAATAGTAATGGAGATTGAGCTGAGAAGAAAAAATGAGATAATGAGAGTGAGATAGAGAGAGAGAGAGAAAGAAAATGATACAGATGAATGAAAAAATAAGTTAAAGAGAGAATGTGGGAGCCCTAGAGAACGAAGGGTGGAGAGAACGAAAGAGAAAGAGAAAGAAAGAGTTTGGGAGAAGGGGATGGACAGAGAAAAAGAAGTGAAGACAGTGATGGAGGGAGAGAGTGGGGGTGAGGAAGAGAGAGAGAGAGAGAGAGAGAGAGAGAGAGAGAGAGAGAGAGAGAGAGAGAGAGTGAGAGAGTGATGGTGACAAAAGAAAGAGTCATCGCTAAAGAGAGAAAGATTAAACTAAAAAGAGAGTAGGTTGGTAAGAGAAAAATAAATAGGAGAAGAGAAAAAGGAGAACCAACAAAGAAATTTATATATAATCGATAAGCACACTTTTTCTTTCGGACGATTTGATATATTATTATAATCAGGGATGATCAGGCTGTTAGTAAAATAATCGTATCATTTGTACAGTTCTACTTGTTAAAGTGTTGTAGAATTTAACGAAGGAGAAATTAAATATGGAGTAAAATGTATCGTTTTAGAAGGTGTTAACATTATTGAAGATTTATAGTAGATAAAATTCCTTTGAAGTCAGAATAAATGTATTGTACCTGTCAAGCATTATGGAAGTCCTGTTAAACAATAAAAGAAATACTTATAGTTCATTGTACGGATTGATTATCCAACGAGTTTCTGCGCCGCAGACGGCTAATAGTAGCTAACCTTTAGCAGAATTACTTCTAATCAGTACTAACACTAATTAAACTTCATTTTAGTAATCGGCAATTATCACGGTGACGGTTTTGTATACGGAAGAAGGTATGGGGAGGGGTACCCTGGTGGGGATGTAGTTGTCAGTCGTGCGTACAGCGTTTCAAAGGACCCAGTCTATGATCGTACTCGGTCGAGTTTACGGCTCACGGCTAGCTCTCGACAGAAGATCAAATTTAACGCGAGCCTTGACTTCCTGACAAACTGTGGCCGATTTTTTCCCGTTTTGGTTTTTTTTCATGAAAGTTCTCGAAATGCGCGTGTTGGGACTAGTAGCCGTTTTCTGCCTCAGCTCGGCGATCGCGAGGAGGCAAGCGCCTCCTCTCGGAGCGGAGGAAACCGTGAGGAAATCAAACAGAGCCGCCGGTGAGTTTTATTTTCTTGTTTGTCTATATTTTTAGGTTTTCAAATTGTCCATTAAATCTGTGCGGTCTGACAATCGTTACCTTAATTGGTGCCAAGAAAATCTACATATTTAAATTTAAACACACACTTAACAGTCAATCTTAATTTAATTTAACTCTTTGACAACGGAAAAACAAAACCATTTTGTTTTTCCTTTACTCTTTGACAAATTTATCCAAACTGTATACTTAACTTCACTTATAAATAATTAATCATATCCATTATAATTAATATTAAAATAAAACACCCCTATAAACATCTGTACATAACAATTCGCATTTACATTTAATTTAAAAACTCGTGGCTAATTTTAAACTAACCACTTTCATATAAAGGACCAATAATAACAAGAACCTCCAAACATTGTAAACAAATCAAAATATGAACATATTTTCCTAATTGAAATTCACATTACGTATACTGACGAGCATACAGATAATCATCTTTTTATAATTTGGCGCGAATTCAATTTTACAATTATTATATATTATATTATTATTGTAAATTATAGCAATACATAATTGGTAAGTACTAGAAAATGCCTTTTTTTTGGGGGGGGGGGATTTAATAAACATTATTTCAGTAAGGAACATTTATAGCGCACATCTACCAAGTGCTTAGGTAGTTGGCAAATAATTTGTTTTTCGAAGGCAGAACAGTACCGTTTCCAGCCAAATCCTGTAAATTTGATCAATCAAGAAAATACTCTTGATTCCAATGAGAATTTTAGGTATACAAAGTATGACACGGTAAACGCCAGATAAATCTCATTTTTTCCGGGATTCGACTCAGGAAACTAACATATATCTGCCAAATTCTGTAAATTTGACAGATTAAGCAAATATGATTCCAATAAGAATTTTAAGATCCTATCAAGTCTGATGCCGAATATATCGGATTTTTATCGTAAGGTAAAAGCAGTAAACAGTACTGTTATCCGTCAAACCATGTGAATTGGACAAATTAAGCAAATATTTGTGATTCCAATAATGATTTTATGTGTTATTATGTATGGAATGGCAAATGCCAGATAAATCCGATTTTTCCTAAATTCAACGCAGAAAGCTAACAATATTAACAAACTCTGTAGATTTGACTGATTAATCGAATATTCCCGAATCCAATAAGAATTTTTAGGATTCTACCAAGTATGACTTGGTAAATGCTATAGAAATCTGATATTTTCCAAAATTCAACGCCGGAAAGTAACGATATTTACCAAACTCTGTAAATTTGACTAATTAAGCCAATATTCGCGATTCCAATAAGAATTTTTAAGATTCTTACAAGTATAACAGGGTAAATGCCACATAAATCTGATTTTTCCTAAATTCAACGCTGAAAATTAACAATATTCACCAAACTCTGTAGATTTGACTGATTAATCGAATATTCCCGAATCCAATAAGAATTTTTAGGATTCTACCAAGTATGACTTGGTAAATGCTATAGAAATCTGATATTTTCCAAAATTCAACGCCGGAAAGTAACGATATTTACCAAACTCTGTAAATTTGACTAATTAAGCCAATATTCGCGATTCCAATAAGAATTTTTAAGATTCTTACAAGTATAACAGGGTAAATGCCACATAAATCTGATTTTTCCTAAATTCAACGCTGAAAATTAACAATATTCACCAAACTCTGTAGATTTGACTGATTAATCGAATATTCCCGAATCCAATAAGAATTTTTAGGATTCTACCAAGTATGACTTGGTAAATGCCATAGAAATCTGATATTTTTCGTAATTCAACGCCGAAAAATAACAATATTCACCAAACTCGGTAAATTTGGCTAATTAAGCAAATATTCGTGATTCCAATAAGGATTTTAAGATTCTACTATGTCACGATAAATGCCAAATATATCGGATTTTTTCCTAAATTCAAAACCGAAAACCGTTACAATTTCCGCTAAACCCTATAAAAATGAAACATTAAGCAAATTTTCGTGATTCCAACAAGAATTTTAGTATTATTTCCAAATTTGAATTTTTGCTCAATTTCCGTACTTCGTTAACTATTTTTGTTAACCTAGTAACCTAAATAGGTCACGATAAATGCCAAATATATCAGATTTTTTCTTAAATTTAAGCTATAAAACCGTTCCAATATCCGCTAAACACTGTAAAACCAAGATATCAAGCAAGTTCCAAATTAAAAATAATTCTAAATATACCATGAAAATTTGTATACAGTCTTATTTTTTTTTTAAACTTAATCTTAATAGTCTTAATTTTAACTTAAAGCAATCAAAACTATCAATAGCCCAAAAATAGTTAACGAAGTACGGAAATTGAGCAAAAATTCAAATTTGGAAATAATATTTATTATCGAATGATGCCGTTTTATCTTCAATTGAAAATAAACACCCTGATTCATACACTCAAAGTTTCAAATTTAAAGCGAAAAGATTAACGAGACAAACCCATTAAGCGTAACGAAAATATGCAAATTTAAATCCATAAATTTTTAATTTAACAAAGTAGGCAAATTTACCCTAATGCAATTTTACAGTCGTGCATATTCTACCGGTAAATATTCGTATAAATGCATTTCCGTGTTGATTTAAATTTAAAGATTCGATTCCACAATTTTTTCTTAAATCACACAAATTAAGAAAAGGTAAATTGTAACTAGATGTGTTTTTTAAATTTTTCGTTTAAAGCAGAACACAGTTTAAAAAATGTTTCAACTCAGTACAAGTATCAAAGTAAGCAAATTTTCCAATTTGACATTTGTACTGTTACGCTCCAATAAACTGTTTAAATATCACATGTTTTTAGCACTCAAAAGTCAAACCTCGCAAATTCAACAAGCTTGCCAATTTTTTTGGAATTTCGACAAATGAACTACCATGTAAGATTTACGTACCAGATCAGTTTTAAAGTTTAAAATTGAATGTGGAAAACAGTACACATAAACCGCCAAACCTTGCGATTTAAACAAAGGAAGCCAGTTTTACAATCGCGCTATATTACACTTTTACCCTTTCAAATACTTTACCAGGGTAATCCTTTCTTTTTTTTAAATTTAAAGAACACAATAACAATAGCCTCATAGCTTACTTAGTAAATCCAATAAAACGTAAGCCGTTTTGAAAATGCAGAATAAAACTTTAATAATAAACTCTAGTATACCTGCGAAGTACGAGATAAAGGATTTTTATGGTTTTCAATTTAAACCGTTTTTCTAAAACTCAATAAAGTAGGCAATTTTATAAAAGCAAATTCCAACTTTAACATATACTGTCAAGTACACCTGGATAAATATATTTTTTGTCTCAAATTTCAAACGGACACCATAAATAGTTAAATTTTACAAACGCAAATCCACAGTATTCTACCAAATCTACTGGTAAATAACGCATAAATCCACAAAATGATAAAGCCTGTAATTTTTAAAAACATGCAAATTTTTCAAACGTAAATTCAAATTTTAACATATAAGGTAATTACAATTAATTGGTCAAGCGGATCACGAAATTAGTGAATTTAATATAAGGTAATTATCAGATATTAATGCGGCTATTTTTCGGTTTTACATTTAATTAAGTAAATAAAAATATCCAATAAACACAATTTCAGCAAATTTTTTAGAAGCAAATTCACTGTTATTTCAACTATGGTGTAATAATTGTCACATAAAACTAATTCGTAATTGTTAATAAGCTATTATTTAAATTAATAATAAGCTAAATAATTCTTTGCGTTAAATTTTGTGGAGTAAAATAAAAATAGCATTTATTTTACGTACGGTATTTATTTAAAAAAGATTATAGAACATTACGCAAGGAAGGGTTAAAAGAATCGGAAAAAGAAATACTTTTGGACAAATTCTGTACCGAAATGAAGCCGACTTCTTGGTTCATAGGAATAAGTAATTACCTAAGTAAAAAGGGGTGTGTTGATTGATGAGAACAAACATAATTTATTTTCACGATTCAGTCTAGTGACATTATCTTGAAAAATTATCTACTTCTTATATTAATTTAATAATTTATTTATTAAAAATGAAATGTCACACCTGTGCCTGTTGAAGGGCTAAATTTCTAAAAGATTTTTTTAAAGCTACGTTTTTCAAAGGTTTTAGTTAAAACCTTTCGAATTTTGACCGAAAAAGTTTCTTGACAAGCAGAATAATCATTTTACAAGCTAAACATGTAGTGATGTGTTTAATAAATTACTCTAGAAGTTAGGCCTGAGTATGTCAGTAATGGTCAAAAAGCTGACATGGGTGAGCCTATTCCTAGGACAAATACAAAACACCGAACTTGAAAAACATTCTAAGGAGCAGAATAATCAAAAATAGGTTGGACACGTTCACTAAAAGAAATGTTTAAAATAAAAAGTGGCTCTTAAGTTTAAACAATGCTCTAAAATGATATATGGAAATGGTTTAAAGGATGTTTTTATTTAAATAGTTTGTCAGGAATATTTGAAAAATTTCTATAAACAACCGGCGAACATTCGGCGGGAAAACAAGGGAGAGTTTATTAGGCAAAAAAAAATCGCCCTATTTATTTATAACTCCTTTTAATAAATTATTGAAGCGATTATACGTAGCAGCTGCCCCCGCTGGATGAACCTCCAAGCCGCAAAATTGGAATCTTTCCTGAAAATAGATCTTTATTATTTACTACTTGATTCCGCACGTGGTTTCGACGTTATTCGTTCCTATTAATTTATCACGGCCGCCTAGCACAATTTCGCGGGTTTTTTAGCATTTTTTCGGCCATTCCGCGACAAGGTTTAAGCATGTTTCATCAACGAGCTCGACATAGTTGCAGACCGTGAAAAAAGTGATTATTTTTAATTAATGAATATTTTACTATATTAAAAAACACGGGCCAAGTTGAAAACAACTCGGACTAAATAAAATTCAGATAAATTTATATTTCCTCTTAAATTTACAGGGTAAAAAATCGTAAAAGATAAAAATCTACAATCAGATATGA